GGGTTGCGATCTGTTGCCGGTCACGAAAAAAAAAAAAAAGACAAAAAGGAAAAAAAAAAAAATTACATAGATACAAATGGACAAGGACAAAAAGGTAATCTGCAAAAATCAAAACAGATGTATCAAGATGATGGGATTATGGGAGGCTTTCTAACCTGGTAATCAACCACACATGATGTAGGACATCATTCAGGTTGTCCTATCTAGTTAAACATGCACCCAGTCTCCAAGAATTTTTCCAATACTGCAGGCTACGACCCATTCATCCAACCCTCAGCGATGGCCAAAAGTAAGATTGCCATCATACAAGACGCCAGCCAAAGGCAAGATTTCTTTTCTTCCTTTCCCTCCACCGGATCGTTAACTCTGGGATAGAAAAGAGACACCTGAAGGGAAATGAACTCAGCCCAGGAGCTTCCTGGTTGCTGTCCTCGGAGCCTGGGTTTCTGGGTCCCCCACCGTTCAGAGAACTACAGGAAGATGAAAGACAGAGATACCCATTTCCTGATCCCCTTTGCTCACTACTTCTCTAAACAACTCACACTCAGCAGATTACATTGCTGCTAAAATTTTTAAGTTACTTTAACTGGGAGGGAAACAGGAAGGGAAAATAGAAGGAAAAGGACACTTTTAAAAAGTTATCTTAAAAGACAAAAATAGTTACAAATCTCCCTTTCAAGATTCCCCAGTTCTTAAATTTCCCGACCCTCAGATCGACTTCGATTAACACGTGAGCCAGCCCATGAGTGTCTGTCATGTCCAACCTCGCTTGGAGGTTCGTTCACATCCACGATGGCTTTAAGAGGAAGGCTGCGACCACGCCAGGCCCGATGCGCTTGTCCCCAGTTTAAAAAGCCACGCTACTATCTCCTACCTTCACGGTGGGACCATGGCCGCCCAGCTTCCTCTGTTTCACAAACACAACGGGCACGCCGGTCTCCGCGGTCAGCTCCGAGAGCGCTGCCTCTAGACCTGGGCCGTCTTCTGTGGCACGAAAGCAGAGAGCGGCGCGTGAGGTCACCGCCCGGCGGGAACGGCAAGGGCGGGGCTTCCGGCCTGGCCCCGCAGACACCATCTGTGTGCCCGCGGGCGACTCCCTTGCAAGCTAGCATGACTCGCTCCAGTTCTGACAATGACTAAAACCCACAATCAGGTTTGGACTCTGGCCCCGGCAAATCTGCACAATAACCGAAAACGTGGCCTCGAGGACAGCTGTAAACGCCCGAGTTCCGGTAAGAGTTAAATCATTGCAAGACTCACTAAAATTAAACGTCCTACTTTTCCAGTAAATCAAGAATTCAGGAAAGCTTCAAAAAATAAGCTTAAGACACAATTATCTCAGCTTTCACAAAACATCTCCCAATTTCATCCTGCTTTGAACTCCGCACCGATACAGAATGCCAAAACCCGATTTCCAATGTTTCTTTGAAATTTGAAACCACGGGGAAATATTAAGAACACCTGCTCACTTAGGATTGTATGTTTGTTTTAAGAGATCTTGAGGCAATACAGTAACACTCTAGATAAGACCNGAACAGATACACAGCAAAAAAGGTTTATGTTGTCAGCTGGTAGAAACGATAGGAAGGGGCACTGGAACTCAACATGGATTCACAACCAGGAAAATTTTACTATAATGAGCACCAGATAAACTTATTTGCAGTCCTAACAATCTATGCCTCTCTTAAATCTTGGTAGTCCTTACCCCTCACTTTCTTCTAAGGTAAGCCAGAGAACCTGTTCACTTCCCTATCTCAAAGCAATCCTCCAATCCTCCTCAGGCCTCAACTCTAACCAGACCAAAAGCAGATAATACTAACTAATCCCTCCAAAGAAAAGGGACTATCTTAGAGGAAAGAATCAAAAGAAACCCAGTTTTCTCCTCAGTTTTGGTAGCTTGGTAGTGTAGTAAGAAGGAAAGAGAATGGTTGGAGAGTTATTAAATTATCACTCATTTCCTGATGTTTATTCAGTTAAGAGTCTGGTTTCTGGTAACTTATTTTTATTTTTATTTTTTTGGCAGCTGGCCTGTAAGAGGATCTGAACCCACGACCTTAATGTTACAACACTGCGCTCCAACCAACAGAAGTAACTGGCCAGCCTTTTGGTAATTTTGTAAGTTAGGTTTGAAAGGAGACCTGCCTTTGTTTTGGTATCTACTCCCCAAGGTTGGAACATGGGGCCACCAAGCCTGACTACAACATGATAACATATGAGCTCCTACTCATATGTGTAATTCACCTGGATGTTAATCATGCAATGCTTTGTTTCTATCATCTCTCCTTTTTTTGCCTTGAAGAAATTATTTAAGACCTTTGTTGTCAGTTTTAGTCTTATCTCCCATGATTATTACCTCAAACTACTAAAGTTTATGTCTGACACTTTGTATACCAGTAAGTACTTTTTCACTCACTTTCCTTTTCGTCTCAGTTCCAATAGGCATTTATGCAAGTGGTTTCTGAAAACCCGAAGACACTGATTTCCACACAAGACAGGTTCCCTATAAGAATATTTGTAATTTTGCCTTAAAAAGTAAGATGTTTATGAAAGCCAGATGTCTTTGAGCAGTAGGAACCCTATTCATAGTTCTTAGAATTTAGTAGCTCCCTAGTTCCAATTTTATACATGGACACACAAGCCCTGTCCACAGATACCATGTTTCCCTATTTTTCTATTCAGTGTTAAAGTGTTCAATATAAAGTGTTCCCCGCTGAGTTACCATTTGCTGTTTTTAACTTACATCTTTTGGGTATTAAAGAGCAGTCCTTTGTTTTCCCCAATTCTAATTATTTTATCAACTGATCTTGATAAGACTACCTTATACATTAGTCTCAAACAATATTTATTGCAAGAATTACCAGAGGGGAATTGTTTAAAATAAAAATATAACAAAAAGACAAGATTCCTAGCCCTTTCCAAAGGATCTACTTCAGAAGAACTCAGGTAAAGCCTGAGCATGTATGTTTACCGAGCACTCCAGGGAAATCTGTGCAGGTGGTCTATAGGCTACACTTTTTAGAAACACACTTCTAGAAAACCTTCATCCTTTAGGTAGTTACCTAGGCTCACCAATTCCTTCCATAGGATTCTCCCTCTCTCATGTTCTATAGTACACTCACTGTGAAACTAAGGTAGGTTTTGCTGCTGCTGTTGTTTGAGACAAGGGAAGAAACAGTATTAAGAGGAAAAAGGGAAAAGCAAACACTTATTATTTACGATGCAATTAAAGTATGAAACCTTAATCTTTGTTTTTTTAAGGTGTGGACTTTAGGATTATAGCACTAACTATAAGCACTCAATTTTCCAAAAAATAAATGCCCTTCTCCACTCAAACCCAATGTTCTCTAAAGATTTTCAAAACCCACCATTTAATCCTAAATGTTGGCAACAACTTTTTGACAACTCACAAACCTATCAAACCAATAGTCCTTACTTTGTGTCTCTTTTTCTTTCTTAGCACTCATTAAAAAACCACAAATAAATCAAATGATACAAAATAGAATGATAAATTAGCTTAAGAGATGGGCTAAAAGATTTACGTATGTTTCTGTGGTATGCTTTTCACTCATAGCATTTTACCTCACTAAATGTCTGAAACTATGATCACATGGAATTGAAAACATTAGATCATAAAGTGAGTTCCAAAGCTTATGAAGCAGTGATTCTTTTTACTTCCATTTATGTCAAAACCAGGAACACCAGTTTAATTCCTATATAACTTTGTAAATGTAAATTTATAACACAGGTGAAGAGAACAGAATAATTAGATGGGAAGGAATATTAACAGAACTTTGTCTCATTTCAGCTAAAAGCTTTAGCTCCTTTAATTATTTTCTATTAATTTGATATTTGTCTTTGAAGTCTAGCTCCATTTCCCATACCATTCTTCAAAAAGGTAAATATTCTTTTAGAAGAAAAAAGAAGTAAAAATGCAAATTATTGTTAATATCCTTCCTAAGGGCGCACACATCTAAATATGTTTTTACACTTAATGCAGGCCTCAGGTTTACTTCTACAAAGACAATGTTCAAATATGAGTTCCATTTCTTAAAAATTACATAGATACAGGGCCCGCCCGGTGGCGCACTAGAAAGTGCGCCGCTTGGGAGCGCGGCGGCCCTCCCACCGAGGGTTCGGATCCCATGTGGAGACCNGGTGAACTCAGAGAACGAGTCAGTGACAATTAAAAAGACTCCAGTTACACTGACATCAGGCCCATTCATGAGACAAAAATCATACTTCCACTCAAAAGTATAGTTGTTTAATAATAATAATGATAGCAGCTAACATTTCTATAGTGCTTTGCATATATTAGCATTTAATCTTCACAACTACCCTTTAGAAGTAGGTATTACCAGGTCCATTTCAAAGATAGGGAAACTGAGGCACAGAAAAGCTAACTACTAACTTGCCCAAATTCAGCACAGCCAGGATTCAAACCCCGCAGTGTGGTCTATCTCTTAACCTTGAGTTGCCTGGTATAGTGAGGGAAGCTCTGGGTTTCAGTATTAGCTTCCCCATTTAACAGTCTTGTGTCAAGCTGGACAAGCCACTTGATCTGAGCCTTGCTTCCCCTGCTTGTAAAACATGGACATACACGTGCTTTGCCAACCTCTCAGGATGTCCGAGAATTAAATGGTCTGAAAATCCCAGGAAAAACATTCTTATAGAGTTATACTTTCTTAATGCTGTCAAGGACCTGCCAATCTATTCTGTGTTTCCAGACTCTGAGAAATGATACAGAAGCCCGTTTTCTCACAGACTCTGCAAACCGTCTTTACCAAGAGCAAAAGTAAGGAAACCACCAGCTGACAGGAGGCCAGTCTCACCTAGCACATGCTGACGCTTTCTGATACCCGGGCGAAACTCTGCAAGCTGCCAAGAAGCTCGCTGTCTTCGGAAGAGCCTCACCCCCTATTCAGACACGCCTTAGGACAGACATGTCCCCTTCCCCGGGATTCACCCGTGCACCTCTGAGGAGCCATGCTCTAGCCCCTCGCCAGCGAACCATCCCCAGCGTGCTCACATCCTAAGGCTCGGAGCTTTGTCTATTTCCACTTGACGCAGAGCTTACATGAATGAGAGGATGATGAAATCATCAGGCTCTTCTTCAGGAATTCTGCCACTTTCCGCTCCGCTGCAAATGCCGGACTGAGACAAACTGAGGTGAAAGGGTCGCTGGTTCCCGGTGGCCAGGAGAAGCCACGCCCTGCTCTGAACCAGCGGGCCAACAGCCAGAGTCAGAATGACAAAGCAAAAATCCTTTTCTCGTGCAGACCTGGCAACCTATGCTAACCGGCTTAGCAAATTGAGAGCTCCTAATTGGGTGACACATCCTCTGTCTGCTCAGAGCCGCCCCCAGCCCAAGGGAAGAGCAAAAACGATTTAAGGAATGTTTGGAACCAGAACTAAAATAAAAGCGCAGTGTTTGAGCTGAACAAACTGCACTATGCCCTACCGCAGTGACTCCAGAACTTTGCTGCCCATTGTACCCACGTGAGGATCTTTAGAAATAATAATTCCTGGCTCCCACCCCAAGACATTCTGATGTCATTGGTATGGGGTGTGACCTGGGCATGTGAGTTTTTAAAAACTGTTAAGGTGATTCTAGTTGGCAGCAAAGTTTGGGACCCACTACCCTAGTGGGTGAGTCAGTTTGGCAACTCCAAGACATTCTGATGTCATTGGTATGGGGTGTGACCTGGGCATGTGAGTTTTTAAAAACTGTAAAGGTGATTCTAGTTGGCAGCAAAGTTTGGGACCCACTACCCTAGTGGGTGAGTCAGTTTGGCAATTCCCTAAAGGAAATTAACAGATTTTTTTTTTTTGGAGGGGAGGGGAAAGGGGGCTGGCCGGTCCAGGAATGAACCCTGGACCTTGGTGTTATCTGCACCACATTTTAACCAACTGAGCTAACCGGCCAGCCCATTATCAGGCTTTTCTAAAGAGGAAACATCTAGTTCATCCTGACTAATCCTGAAAAG